GAAGAGAGGGGCGGGACTATGGAGATAGATGACGGCAACGGCACCCGAGCCGAGGAGAAAATGTAGATAGAAAAATGCCTCGTACCAGCGCTGCCGTAGAAGACCGGAGAGTAGGATAGCTAGGAAGATAGCCGTCGCCTGAGACTGTAAGTATCTTCCATCCCGTCTGCTCAAGGATACTTACCGCGAGGGCTGCCCTGTCCGCCACGTGCTCTAGGTTCGGTGGATGGTTTGATATGGCAACCGCGACGTGGATCAAGCCTTCGAGGATCGCGATCCGACTGAGCGATCGATGTATTCTCGCATACGTCTTCAGGCTAATCCCGCAGCAATCTGCTATAGCATTCATGCGACCTCCTAGGGCATTAGATTAATAATAGACACAAGTCCGGACCTACGAATAAACCCGGATAGGTCGTCTACGTCAAGGGACAGGGCGAGAACGTTGGCTAGTAGGAAAGGCCAGGAGGACTAGAAGATGAAGGGTAGTAGTTCTGTCGGAACTGCCAAGGGACCGAAGAAGCCGTGGCTAAACAAGATATCTGCGGAGGCATGGCCTTGCGTAGGTACGAAGAGCGATGGCGATAAGGAAGCCAACATAAGTAACGATGGATTATACCACGATACTTCCGAGGGCAACCGCGTACCATTCCAAGACCTCCATCTTAGGGATCTCTTAGGGCGATTTGATGGAGGTTTGGTGACAGTTCGAGAGGCATAGCATCGCCAATAGGGAAACGAGGCGCGCTTTAATAAGAACGGAATGGTGGCGGAAAGAAGGTCAAGGGAAATGGCAAACCCATTACTTGAGCGAAAGGTATGCAGGTCCTTTTTCCGGCCAAGATGGAATTGGAACGAAAAGACCTTACTATTAGGAGCCAATATTTAGACGATACAACACTAGACCAAAAATAAAGCACAGTACAGGTAAAATAATATCTTCTAATAAATTATATGCCCGTTTAATTCGGAACTTATTTCTGTTGAAGTAATACTTATATCCCTTTTAAGATCTATTAACGTAGGAATTATCTGATCTAGCTGGGCCATGGATTTCATCAGGCTACCCTGGAATAAGCGAGTAGTAACATCCGTGCGACGCCGAGCTTCGTCTTCGTACTCTTGCTGGCGCCGTAGCAAGCGGTCTACCTCATTAGCTGTAAGTTGTCGTTGCGCTGATTCTTCTTCTGTTTTATTTATCCATTTGCTTAGCTCAGTAGAAAGATTAACGTTTTCCTCCTTGAGTTGACCGATGATAGTACCGAAGCTTACATGCTGCGAAACCTAGGGCAATTAGAAGGGGCTCATATAAGGCGTCTAGAATCTGAAGTCCGGTACCATAGTGATAATATCTATAGCCGTCAAAGAAGACGACATGGTCTTACCTACCGCCTCAAAGGAATTACCGACCTCTTCGCAGATCATTCGGTAGGCGCTAATAGAGTGTTCGCTTAGGTTCTTGGCAAATATTTTCGCGAGCACCTCATTCTTCTCCGGAAGGATGTTCCAGGCGTACGGATCACGAGTACGGGGCACCAAGCAAACTTCGGCGGGCTCGACCGTAATTCCTAGTGTTTGAGCTGGGAGCTGTTAGGGAAGGAAGGGCCCCAGTGATCGCGTAAGTACTCACCGATATGCCTAGATAATTTTTCCCTGCACTGCTCTCTAGCCAGTCGACGTTCTCGGTTGCTTTGTCGAATGGGAGCCATATCGAAGAGCATACCCTATACAACCGTCTGGTAATAGCCGGCTCGTGAGCCATCCTCTCTATATTAGAAAATTCTAAGCTTATGACTTGTTTATCTGGCCCTAAAATGGGATCTTGATGTTTTTTACGCGCCTGTTGGCCCCGAAATGGATATTCCGTTCCGGATCTAGGTCCTTCATATCGATTTGTACTTACGT